CGCCGCAACGTCACTGCAACATTGCGGCAACAGTCATTAGCATAGTTCGTAGATTAGACATAAACCCCAGTAGTGCAACGACGCGTTCCACGTGCCTAGATGAAGACAGTTTAGCCGAAACTGTGCCACCGGTTAGCAAGTTATTTCCTGACATCGGTCAAATATCGCCGCATGATTGTCATTCATTTACCGCGTCCAATATGCAGCATTAGACTTAGGATAGAGACGATTGGACTTTGTACTATAATCCGATCGCTAACAAGCCTCCCCCTGGTCTCGTTATCCGAATGAATATACAGAAATCCACCTCTAGCCTTTGGATCTGTTAGTTCTCACTTAGTTTCGAATCGTTTCTGACTTAGTGTTCGGGCTTCGCTCACGCAACATAGGCCGTTCCACACCGGTTTATACAGGAGGTCATCCATTGACACCATAATCATGCTGAATAGAACCAATACGGTTGGGTTTCGAGGGCACAACTGAAGTTGAAAAGCCTACCTCAGAATGGAGGGGTTCGGCTGATCGCGCAAGGGGAGTGATGGCGGATGGAAGGGATGTTTTGGAACAATGGAGCATACGCAGAATGCTATTGAATACATCAATGGGACATTCTTGACCAATGTCACCTTCCAAGCAACCCCTGTGCCGTTCCAAGGAGACAAAGGCTTCGACATCGCACCAGACGTCTGCTTTTATGTACCTCGGCAACCCATTCATCCAAATCGAAGTCACTAGGGGTAGGAAGGTAGCCAAGTTTCGCGGTCCATTGGTCAACAGCGTTCGGACCAAGCAATCTGGAGCGGTAGCTGTGGTGGTTTCGGTTGATGGGAAGTACCTATTCACTGGGCATGATATTGCGATTGGGGCGTCTATCGTTCAGTGATATTAGTAGTGGTACGGAGTACAAGAGATATATGGGGCATAATGATACGGTGCGGCACTTGGCGATTAGTGATGATGGGATGTATTTGTACGTCGCGTAGGTCTGTGCGCTTCGGCAGTGGGTCATGGAGTGATATGGTGGTCCTCAGGTGATAGTGGGCTCTACCTAGAACAGTCCTAATGGGGTCCCGCTCATTCCATCCGTCCTCTTCCGCGGCATCATAATCTGGATGTACAAAGTGCTGACTGTGCTACTGCTGAATTTTCATTCACATTGTGGGAGATGAGCATAAAAAACTCAGCATAGTGCTGAGTCAGCTGGATCACAAGAAAAGAGGAGGGGTTGAAGACAAAATGGTGCTTGCATCCTACAAAACCATTGCGAGATGTGAGGATCGAACTCACGACCTTAGGATGACTTGAACTCTCGATTATGAGACCTACGCTCTACCAACTGAGCCAATCTCGCACGTTTTTCGGCAAAAGAGTGTTGCATTTATGTCTCTAAACGGTGTGAAACAAGAGACTGAGCAGGGTGTCGGGGAAGGGAGAAGCCAACGGCACAGGCTGAACGGGTAGCTTGACGTTGGTGCCCTCAATATGGTGCCGACACAGGTGATACATGTGCCCCTAGCGAAGTTTGTGTGCAGCCAACAGCATGGGCTGAACGGGGGCAGCTGAATGGCAGTAGATTTAGGCTAATGCCATCGATATGGAACCGGCACAGGTGGGATACCTTGAACTCACCCACGCTCCACTGACGGTGCTGATGTTGCACATGTGCCACAAGAGAAGTTGATATTCGTGTTTTTGAATTGGTCAGTGTATGATGTTCTGAATTGCTTGGTATATGGGATTCCGAATTGCTTAGTATATGGGACTGACCACAGTGGTTTGGAAGGGAGAAGCAAACGGAGCAGGCCGAACGGGCAGATCGACGCTAGTGCAACAGGCTGATGCCATCGATATGAAGCAGGCACAAATGTTCCATGAACGTGGCTAACGTTGTCAGAATAATGACCGTAACCTACCTGCGATAGCTTAGATGGAAGTTTGGGTCAATGCGTAACCAACTGAGCCAATTTGAATTGCACCTGCACTTGGCTCAGTCGACGAAATGACTGAGATGGATGGAATAGCGCAGATAGAGGTAGGATGTCGTCAGATATATGCCATTCACAAGCGACCGAAGGTTTTGCGGCAGTCGAGTCAGGCATATCTCGTGTCATTGAAGACTACTTGGTGAATGGTAAAGGTATCAAAGTAGTCAGGATTGTCTCAAAGTGGCCTTCCAAAACAGTCGCCTGAGCCATTGATCAATTGTGCATTAGGCAACCAGAACCCTCCAAATGTATGGATTTTCATTGCCACCTCAAAGCGCAGGCATATGTCACAGTGCCAAAATGGCTGATGAAGTTGGTGCGTTTGCGAATGTGGGAAGTGAGCTCGACAATCATGCACGCACTCACCAGACATGTTCTGCCTCCCTTCCAGAATGCCAGTTACCAAGTACAATTATACAACTTAGTTCAGGTATATTTGCAAGGGTAAAATGCTCATCCCATTCCATCCCACGAACCCATCAATAACAAATGAAGAAAGTAAAAACATATACAAAAAAGATGAGAACAAAGTACAACTTGATATCGACAAGCTTATGTGGCTGCTGTATCCATACAACTCCCTCCAGCGGACCCGGTAGACCAACTTTGCTCCACGCAGCCCATACTGCTACCTCACTTCTTTGCCAATCCGAACTCCACCAGTCTAGCCACAAGATCATTGACAAGCACCGGTTTGGAAAGGAAAGCGTTCTATAAAAATGAGAGAAGGGCCGGATCAGTAAACTGCACAACGCAAATGTCTGAACCGAAAAACCCGAAAGGAAAACACGACAAAGCCAATACACTCACCATCCCACAATTCAAACAAGCAAACCTCTCCGCCTCCCCCCTCTCCGCCGTAACCGCCACAATCGGCACCGCACACCCGCGTTCCCTCAACACCCTTGTAGCCGTAATCCCATCCATATTCGGCATCCTTACATCCATCAATATCACATCCCACCCGCCTCTTTCCGCCACTTCCTTCTCCCATGCTTTGATGCACTCCACTCCGTCCGCGGCCGTATCAATCGTGCAACCGAGTTTCTTAAGAATCTGAGTCACGACCCGTTGGCAGAGGGCGTTGTCTTCGACGACTAGGACGCGGAGAGGGTGGTTGGTTAGGAGGGAGATGTTCTGGTTTGTTGAGGTAGTTGGTGGGGGCATGAGAATTTGTGGGGTTGAGGTGGGGTTCGGAGGGTCGGTTAGGGCGAAGTAGGAGGGTTCCGTGTCCGGTGCACGGGGTGGGTAGTCTGGTTGTGACCGCGGTTGTTGCTGCTGTTGTTGCTGCTGGGGCGTTGAATAGCCCTGTTGCATGTTTTGTGGGGACAGCGGGGATGGGAGGTAGGTTGACTGCGTTCCGGGAACGGGAGGTGGTCGATAGTCTTGAGGACGATCAATCAAAGTGGATTGAGGTACTTGTGATGCAGAACGTGATCTTCCACCCCCGTGACTGCCACTATCTGCCATATCCGGTTGAGATCGTAACGAGCTGCGACGAGTGTCCGGATGGGGTAAGGGATGAGACATGTAATTTGGAGCGGTGTCACACGGTCTGCGTGCCTCGGGTGGTGTTGATTGTTGCTGTGAATGACGCGAATAGGCGTCTGGCGGTGAATCACTTCGCGGGCTGTGACCACTATATTGGAACGTGGGAAGATAAGGCTGAGATCGCTGAGGTTGAAGCACTTCGGGCCGGTCATTCACATTCTGGAATGACCTATGGTAGACAGGAGGTTGCTGATATCGGTCGTTCACAGGGGGTGATGACCGATGACTGCCCAACTCTTGAAAGATAGTATTACCATGAGACGAAGAAGGTGCGTGATAAGGTTGTGGACCACCCTGCGGCACATAGAAATGCGACTGCCCGTGCGATTGCGGTTGTGGTGCTACCAAATCTGGTGAGGACCGTCCATACCCACTATAATAATGCTGCCGAGCACTTCCCTGATCCGGTGCCTGCGAAACCACAAAATCAGGTGACATGCGCCCTTGACTGCCCCCTAAGTACTGCTGCTGATGCATGACTCCGTTCCGATGGTCATCCATCTCCTCAATCGGTGGTGCATATCCCCGAGTCGTCCCACTCATCCGTACGATATTCTCAATCGCAGCTTGACTCTGCTTCATGATGGCTTGTATCGCCACGGTTGGGTCCACGGCAGCCGATCTTGCTTGGGTATGGGGGTCCGCGCTAGCATCGAAGCTGGATTGCCGGCTCAATCGTGCCCTTCTATCCCTGTATGTCTGAGATGGTGGCACGCCCTCGCTAAACACAGAGGCATTGTCCGGAGGTGGATGTGAATTTTCGGCAGTCGCGATCCAGTCCCTAATCCGTCCTGATGTGGATTGGGGCAAGCGGGAACTTCCTGAAGGTGTAATGTCGAAGACTGGGCGTTCCTCGGTCGTGCTCGGGGCTCGTGATTGTCTGCCTAGAACTCGTTCGGGCTCCTCCGGAGACTGGTCTGTTTGCACTTCCAACGGCAGTTTGACCCAGAATGTTGAGCCCGCCCGCCCAGGAACTTGACTGCTCTCCACCCCAATCTGTCCTCCCATGGCCTGTCAACGTATTCCATGAGCATACATTCTACAATCAAACTAAGACGTAGGTATCACAGGAACTCACCTCTACCAACATTTTGCTGATATGCAACCCGAGCCCCACCCCACCGGTTCCCAAAACACCCGAAACTTGTTGATTGCCCTTCCCCGGCGCTGGCGGCTTCTGCCAGTACTTTTTCCACACCATAGGCAAATCCTCCTCTGCGATACCCATTCCCGTGTCAATCACACTGATTTTGAAGAACCGTCCTTGGGCATCCGTTCGATCGAATTTTACCGTGACTATGTATCAGGAAACCAATAGATGCATGAGTCACAATCTCAAGGCACAGCGATGATCTTCTTTGAGCTTTTTAACAACCCCACCTGTAATGAACCCCTTGGTAGTAAACCTAATCGCATTCCCCACCAAATTCATCAACACCCTCCTAATCCCCACCGCATCCCCCTTCACCAGTCTGGGCAACTTGGACGCCGTACTTCCATGCCACGCCAAGCTAACCACCACCTCCTCATCATGCACTAGCGCCGCCATGCGTTTAATTACGCCCTCAATTTCGGCTTTCAGGTCAAAGGGTTGAACGCTGAACGAGAAGATTGATTTGGAGTCGTGTTTTTCGTCATCTTTGATGGCGTCGACGATGTTGTCGAGCATGCGGCACAGGTCGGTCCCGGCTGCTAGGATTGTTTCTGTGTATTCGGTTTGGGTGTCGTTTAGCGGGGTGGAGGAGAGGAGTTGGAGGTTGCCTAGGAGGGCTTGCATGGGTGTTCTGTTTGAAGAATTATTAGAGTGAGTGATATGTGCGAGCAGGGGCGCAAATGCTGGTTCCCGCCAAACTTTAGCAAACCGATCATCGAATCTCACCTCAGATCATGTGCAACACTCTGCAAGAAATTATCTTTCAACTTCGTCGCATTCTCCGCCGCCTCCAACTGCACTTTGAACTTCTCTTCCTTCAATTTTCGCGCAGTATCATCTCTGATGAAACACCTCGTATGATGAAACGTTCCATCCGGGTGATAGTTGACGTTGCTGTCCACCAGAATGTTCTTGATCGTCCCGTCCTTATGTCTCACCCTGACGGGCACGTCGTGGATTGTATTTCCCGAACCCAGGGTTTTGAAAATCTCAACGACAACAGCCTCGTCCGGGCAGAATTTACTGATTTTCTGGCCAATGTACTCTTCCTTTGTGTAGCCCAGGAAGTCAAGCTCGGTTTTGTTCGCCCACAACACGATGCCTTCCCCCGAGAGCCAATGCAGTGCTATAGGTGCATTTTCAAAGAAGTCTTCGAATTGGGCAGCTTTCGAGATGTCACGAGCTTCGTCCGTGTCGATCGGGCGGCCAACAAGGTAGAGGAAACGGGTAGTAGGATGTTGTGATATGGTCCACTCATGTGTCACCCAGCGAGGAATTGGCGTAGTTAGGGTGAGAGTTTGGAAGCGTGCTCGGATTGGCTTTAGAGTTGGGTCCTCATTAGCAAAAGGTGCATATGTGGTTGCTGGGAGGGCTGTCGAAGGGGATGGGGAGTTTCGGAATGTGGCTAACACAGATGTGACTGCTGCCAAATCATCTGAGTGTATGAAGTTATTCGTAAACGATCTGTTGACGTATCGTCAGAACAATTTCGGTGAGTGCAAATGTTTGTGCGCTATAGACATTTTCATACCTGCTCTCGTGTATCGTTCCTGATATATCCCGCAGGAATGCAAGATTTGCTCGCACTATCACGTTATCACCGTCCAATATGACGGCGGGATCACCCATTACAGCAAAGTAATCTGGAGCCTCCATACTGGT